GATGTTCGGTGCAATGTTATCGAAGCAGAACCATTACCGAAATTTATAAATTTTTTGTCGCAGCGCGTAAATGACTTATAGAAAGCGGAGAAGACTCTGCATGATATTACTATAAAACATTTCTTCTAAATTTTTAGTTTTTAAAATAATATTTTCTTAATTTATTACAACCAAAGTTATGTAAATATGTATTACTAATTTTCCTCCCAAACTAACAAAAAAATATAAAAATCCCTAAAAATACGAAAATTCATGTTTTTATGATAGGCTAGATTTCAATGTCCTCAACTGTATATTGAAAACACAAATGTCATTTGACTTATGGCATGTGAATTTGTGGTTGCCACATCAAACAAATCGTACTTATTGATCAATATTATTGAAGATTTGACGAAGATTTAACTTAAATCTACTTCCTTTCGAGATTTAATTTTATATGATAAATCTTAAAAGATTTAACGTCAAATCTCGTCAGAGGGCTAAATCTTCATTAAATCTCACAATGGAGACATAGTATAACACAAAATGTATGCTACCATACGTTAAAAAAATACACCACAAATAAGTGCGTATAATTAGGGGTATAAGTGTACTATACGTACATTGCTCTTATTTAAAATAATAATATTAGGATCGATAGGGGTCTTACTCCTGATCATAACGGTATAATTTTTTTCGGGGGGAAATAATATTTACTGGTGTTATTATAGTTCAGAGTACACAAATGTAGAAACCGTACATCGAAAATTTGATAAATAATGAAAATTTTTAATAAAAATCGCGCGATTTTTTATTAAAAATTTTCGCCTGCGGCGTTTTTTTCATAAAAATCAATACTTTGATAAATAATGAAAATTTTTTATAAAAAATCGCGCGATTTTTATTAAAAATTTTTATTATTTATCCGCCGCTTTCCTATAAATCAATACTTCGATAAATAACTAAGTTAACATTTTTATTACAAAATCTCTCGATTTTAGACTGAATCACTTTTTTTTATCAATACATAGATATTTAACTTAAAAAAAGTTAATTCCAATGCCCGTTTTTATTGTTTCTCGTTTTCAGCGCTTTTTTTTGGGCATTTTTTGTTGTGTGGCAGCACCGACATTGTAGTACAATTGGTTTACAAAGCAAAAAGTGAGGTTGAAGTTGACATTTTTTGCAACTTAAAATTCAATTTTCATAAAAACTATAAGCCTCCGGAGGGTGGGGTTTTCAGATTTACAATCACAAAAAGCCGCTCTAAACCCCCTCATTTTGGTTTTTTTTTAAACCGTGTTCCGTATTGGAAAATTTTCCCTTCTTCTGTGCTAACTGACGCCAATTGGAAATGCCAAGTTCTTCTCCACCTGGTCTTTCCAACGTAGAAGAGGCCTTCCTCTTCCTCTGTTTCCAGCATCGCGGCCCATGTTGAATATTTTCAGATCAGGAGCGTTTCTGTCCATTCGAACGACATGGCCAAGCCAGCGGAGCCGTTGAATTTTAATTCGTTGCGCTATGTCTATATCCTTGTAAAGCTCATACAGCTCATCGTTAAATCGTCTGCGATATTCGCCATCACCAACGCGTAAAGGTCCGTAAATCTTTCGCAGAATCTTTCTCTCGAAAACCCCAGCCTTATCATATACTTTCATTGTCCATGCCGCCGCGCCGTGCACCAGCACAGGCATTATGAGTGACTTATAGATTGTGAGCTTTGTACGACGAGAGAGGACTTTACTTCTCAATTGCCTACTCAGCCCAAAGTAGCACTTGTTGGCAACAGTGTTGCCAGAGAGAATCCCCTAAAAATATTAAATTTTTACAAAAAAATCTTCAAAATAAGATTTTAAAGCTAAAAAAAATCTGTTCGATCCCAAAAACAAACAAAAAAACACCTAAAAAGAAGCACAAAATTCGATATTGTCTTTAGGGCTGTAAATAGCCCTTATTATGTTGGTTGACAAAATTACCAATTTCAAGATATAAAGTCTTTTTTATAACCACTTAAACTTAAAATGAATATTGCCTCGTATCATCACAAAATTTGTAGCACAGTTAACATATGTATATATACACTGACGAAAATACAAATAGCGACGCTACATTTTGCAAGTTTTGACTGACTTCAAAGAAAGAGCAGTTTATCAATTGTGCGAATATTTTTTTTATGTATATATGTTACCGCATAACTTTGGACTACTTGAACTGGTTTCGATAATTCCTTTTTATCGGACAGGTGGTACCTCAAGGGTGGTCCCGTACTAATTTGGTTTAGATACGGTCATTGGATCATGAAGAAATTGACGATCAATTTTATATGAGAATTGAAGTCGCTTGTGTTTTTTGTTTAAAAATTACTTGTTTTTTTTATGAACGAGTAGCTCGTTATCTGTCAAAAACTTCAATCTTTGTACAAAAGTTAAGAAAATTCGACAAAGTTCCATAACAATTTTGAGCTTTTTAATTCGATTTTTTATTGATATTTTTACATGCACGTTCTTTTATAAATCTCACCGCCCCGTTATACATTTATCCATGTAGACCCATCAGCGATTATTTCTTAAATGGAAGTTTACTTGAAGCTTTCCATTGTTGTCATTTAAACTAGAGGGGATACAAAAGACCGTTTGTCTTTCCTGCACTCTCTAGCTGTGCACTAGAGTATCAGGCCGATTCTGAACAGAAACTCGCCGGGAGTTTTCTCTATTTTCCCTTTCCTCCTATCACGAATAAAAATTCCTTGAAGATTTTTTCTACTAAATGGCGGAGTTGAGCTCTCAAAAAAGTGTCAAACAGCTTTTCGAAGTTCGAATTTAATCCTCCCAAGTTTTCGGGGAAAATGCTACTCCTGGGAGTTAATTATTTGGGGATTTCTTTCTCGGGAGAAACAAATTACCGGAGAACAAACTCCCAGGGAGTATTAAGAATTGGCCTGTATATGTTTTACTGTGCAGGAGAAGAAGGCAGATAATATTGTAGGGGATTTCGTATTTCATTTTTCTTCTTCCACAATTTGCTGCTTACAATGATGTGGCAAGGATAATATAGATAAATTAAAAATTTTAACTTAAACATTAAAAATATTACATCATACACAAAAATCTTCATTTTGAAGATATTTTCAGTGTAAAATTTTGCTTTTTAAAAAAATCTTTTTTTGAAGATTTTTCATAAAAACAGCCCATAAAATCTCCATTTTCAAGATAAATCTTGACTTATGGCAACGCTGGTTGGCAAGAGTGATTCTCCGTTGGATTTCAAGGCTGACATTATTATTGGTGTTCCCAAATAAACGAAGTCGTCTACTTGTTCAAATTTGTAACTGTCAACAGTGACGTGTGTGCCAAGTCGCGTATGTTCTGCCTGTTTGTGTGATGACAGGAGATACTTCGTTTTGTCCTCGTTCACCACCTGACGTATTCGCTTTGCTTTTCTATCCAATCCCGAGAAGGCAGAACAGACGTCGTCCTTGTTTTTACCGATAATATCGATGTCGTCGGCATACGCCAACAATTGTACGCTCTTGTAAAGTATTGTGCCTGAGCGGTTCAGTTCTGTGGCTCTTATTATCTTCTCCAACATCAGATNCATTATTATTGGTGTTAATGCTGGTTCCCAAATAAACGAAGTCGTCTACTTTTTCAAACTTGTAACTGTCAACAGTGACGTGGGTGCCAAGACGCGTATGCTCTGACTGTTTGTGTGATGACAGGAGATACTTCGTTTTGTCCTCGTTCACCACCTGACGTATTCGCTTTGCTTTTCTATCCAATCCCGAGAAGGCAGAACAGACGTAGCCCTTGTTTTTACCGATAATATCGATGTCGTCGGCATACGCCAGCAATTGTACGCTCTTATAAAGTATTGTGCCTGAGCGGTTCAGTTCTGCGGCTCTTATTATCTTCTCCAACATCAGATTAAAGAAATCACACGAAAGGGAGTCCCCTTATCTGAAACCTCGTTTGGTATCAAAAGGCTCGGAGAGGTCCTTAACTATTCTGACGGAGCCGGTGGTATTGGTCAACGTCATTTTACACAAAGGCAAAAAAAGGCTTTGAAATCGACAAATAGATGGTGTGTGTCGATTCTATTCTCGCTGGTCTTTTCCAAGATTTGGCCTATTTTGAATACCTGATCGATGGTGGATTTGCCAGGCCTAAAGCCACACTGATAAGGTCCAATCAGCTCGTTGACGGTGGGCTTCAGTCTTTCGCACAATACGCTCGATAAGACCTTGTAACCTATGCTTAGAAGGCTAATTCCGCGGTAGTTGGCGCGTATGGCGGGGTCGCCTTTCTTGTGGATTGGGCAGAGCACACTTAAATTCCAGTCGTCGGGCATGCGTTCATCTGACCATATTCTGCATACGAGCTGATGCATGCACCTCATCAGCTCCTCGCCGCCGTGCCTGAATAGCTCGGCTGGCAGGCCGTCAGCTCCAGCAGCTTTGTTGTTTTTCAGCCGCGTTATTGCTATTCGTACTTCGTCATAGTCAGGCGGTGGGACAGCTACTCCATCATCATCGACTGGGGACTCGGGTTCGTCTTTTTCACTACTTTCAGCGCTGCTACCATTCAATAGGTTATAAAAGTGTTCCCTCAACAATTTAAGTACATTCTGGACATCGGTTACTAGGTCGCCATTGTTGTTCGTACAGGAGTTCGCCCCAGTCTTGAAATCTTCCGTAAGTCGCCTAGCCCTCTGGTAGAATTTTCGAGCGTTCTTCCTGTCGGCCAGCATCTCAAGCTCTTGGCACTCATGTATTTCGGCCTCTCTCTTCTTATTGCGGCAAGTACGTCTCGCTTCCTTCTTCATTCCCTATAACGTCCCACATGCATCGCGTTGCGCCCGATGAAGAGTGCTCTCAGATATTAGGTGTGTGAGT